CTGTCTCACACACACACACACACACACAAAAAAAGCATCACTAATACAGATTCAAGTCATAGTGAACTGAGACATGGTGAAAAATAAATGAATGTATTATTTATTTGTATCTTTTATATCGTCTTTTTTCAAAGTAGATATTATTTGAACATTTGTATATGAAAATATATTTTTTGCATCTTTTTATGATGTTAAGATAATACTTAGCAAAGTTTTCTGTATATAATTTAATTAATGTATTTATTTTTGTTTTAGTACATTCCTTGCCCAATTTGACTGTGCTGTCGCTTTCTGGATGCAGTAAAGTAACAGATGACGGCGTTGAATTAATCGCAGAAAACTTGCCAAGACTGCGTTCCTTAGATCTCAGCTGGTGCTCAAGGATTACAGATGCAGCCTTAGAATATATCGCCTGTGATTTGAATAATTTAGAAGAACTCACATTAGATAGGTAAGAAAAGATTATTTAAATGTAACTTGATTCGTTTACTTTTCATTAAAAGATTATTTGTCAAGACAATAAATCAATCTCAGGTACATCTTATTTAATATTTCGTGTTTCTCTATAAAATAAATTCAATGTAATTTATAATAACGCATTCGTTTGGAGTTTTTATATCATATATTTCCTATATTTTTATACAGATGTGTACACATTACGGATATCGGCGTCGGTTACATTTCCACAATGGTTTCGTTGAGTGCATTGTTTTTGAGGTGGTGTTCGCAACTTAGAGATTTCGGTCTTCAACACTTGTGCGTCATGAGATCTTTACAAGTGTTGTCCGTGGCAGGTAAGAGATCCTGTACACCAACTTAATCGTAAATTTATGCAATTTTTCTTGGTAAAATATTTATATGGTAGATTGTATATAAAGTGTATTATTTATATTTAAATAAAAATATTATTATTTATATAAATTTATATATTTAATTTATTTTTATTATTTATATAATTTATATATATAAATATATTATTTATATTTAACTAAAAAGAGAAACAAAAGCATTAATTTTAAAAATACATTTTTATTGTTAAATTATATATTATTTTTAATTAATAATATAATTAATATAAATTAATATAAATTCGTTAATGCTTTTATGTGGAAGTGTGTTTAATTTGCATAGAAAAAGTTGAAAATTGCGTAAATTTAATTATCTATATATATATATATATATATATATATATAATAAGATATATATAA